CCAAGTATATCTCTCCACGAAATGGCATTTGCTCATGTTTTGACCTATGCTTTTGAAGATCTGAAGATCTTTTCCTCTGCAAATTGTGTAAATTTGCCTTTAAATTAAAAATGATTTCCCTTTGTGTGAATTCACCCTACTCTTTAAAGAACATTCCAGTCATTCCACTTAAATACAATCAAGGACACCCAACTTGGGTAACACTGCTTTGATACCTGTCTTTCTCCCTCCCAATGTTGTTTTGTAATGGTTTCTGGGTGGAATTGTCCAATTTCGAGGCCAACATTAATTGAAAGGGAAAAGGAAGTCCTCCACAACATGTCAATGTTTTTCCCTCAATAGACCTTTGTCACACGGCTGCCATTTTGTCTCAGGAGATTTAAAAAGCTTTGTTTACGCACAGCAAGCCTTGAAGAGATAATTAGGCTAGCCGCGCATAAACAAAGCTTTTTAAATCTCCTGAGACAAATGGCCACTGTGTGACAAAGGTCTATTGACCCAAGTTCTGATGTCACGAATTATTGGTTTGCATTTAAATGAATGCAGCCTAATCACATGCAATCAGCATCCTTACCAGATTTGCTATGTGGGCAAATGCTGATTCGTGATTTGCTAGTGAATATTGGAGGTGAACGTAAACGCTTGCTTCTTCCATTAGCCTTTTTCCAGTTGTACTTTTTTGTGATTTGAAATAGGATACCCACTTATCTTTCTTTGACAAGTGGAAGTCTTGGTCTGGTCATCAGTGTTCTCACCAGGAGTCAGTTTAATAAAACTTTTACAAGTGTAATTTGTAAGTGTAGCCATTAATTGTCTTAGGGCACTTTCCATTTGTCAGAACAGACCGGCCAGACCATTCCATTCTTTGTGAGAATTTCACTTTTAATCTAAACTATCCCGACCAGATCAGTCAAATCCTAAATAGTATGCACAAAGGAGATGGTTTTTTCAGTAAAACCCCTTTGGAAAAAGTGGATTTCATTGGCCAGCTGACTGTTAAGGCTGGCCAATTCTGACAAATGGAAAGGGCTCTTAGAGTCTGAAAACAATAGCTACACTTGTAAAACTTTTCTTTAAATTGACCCTAGGATTTTGTCTTGAAGTGTGCCAGGAGCCTTTTTAATCTTCCTGACAAATAAGGCCCTGCAGAAACTTGTGGGAATCAAAGTTAATTATGGTTTGTGACTGCCTTGAAGAAAATACTAGGACGCTAGGACTACAGAAACGGTGTATCTTTCGCTGCTGTTTGAAGCAAAAACCCCAAGCAATAAACAACATATTTAAGCACGTAATCCACTTGCTCAGTTAAAAGTAATCCAAGATGGCAGGCAAGAGCCTGGTTTCACATGAATGGTAAAATAAATGGTTGTTGTGATGCATTGTTTTCATTAAGTTTAACTTATTTCCATGTAGAAAAACTTAAGTATGAAGTTGTCACCGGCAAAGTTACTCACTAGCCCCTATATTTTGCCTGTAGCAACTGATCTGAACTAGGCTCACAATCCCGAAAACTACAGCCTGGTAAGAACACTGCGGTCACGTAATGCCAAACACATGAAAAAAAAAGTATACGACGCGTGGGCTTGGTTTTAAGGACCCACCAAGGAGGAAAAGGTGATTATTTTATGATTGTTTTTACTATAGAGTCTACTGGGAGTAAGAGCAGCTCGCCTGAAGATCTTGAAGAAGCTGACAGTGAAACATCCAAGGATGGACTATCAGAACCAGGTAAGCGTTAGCCTGCGTAGCTGGCGGTATTGTGTAGTAGTCGAGTGAGATTTGGCGGCGGAGCCGTTGTAATATAGTCGAGTGAGATTTGACGGCGGAGCCGTCACGAGCGGCGAAGCCGCGGGAAATACCGCCTGCCAGAGAACCATGATTTTTCGAATGCCGCCCACTTTTGTCACGTTAGCTGATCCCAATTAAATCAGCCAATCAAAGAGAAACCTGCAAATTGAAACTTCCGATTATTTTCGCGCGAGACAGTTTAGAAATAAGCGTTGACAGGCTAAACACGACTCCTAAGCTCGTGACAATGTGAAACGTGACCTTGTGAGTTTGCTTGAACAGAAGGTTTTTTTTTATTTTCTCGGCTCTCGCTCGAAGGTTACTAGCACTACACAGTGCATGTATCATTCTAAACTTTGACTGAGTAAATCTTTTTTTGCAACACTAGGCTTAACATTAAAAGGTCATGAAACTGGTTTGTTACATGCATACTGAGTAACCATTTCCGGTGGTTTATTCTTCTGTAGGTGTTCCTGATAGGATTTGATCTCAGATGCAGTTGTAAAGTGTTTTAATTTTCTTTGACCTTTGTTTCTTACGGCTAAATTAAGACAATTCCAGCGCTGTGAAGTTTAAGACGCCATTTCGGCAATTTGGTCATCAATTATGCTCTTTCTAAGGCGGAAATCACAATCACTTTACATGTACGTCTTCTCCAGTTTGCCATCTGCTCCCTAAATTGGGAAATATACGCGCGAAGGCTCATCTAACATGATTGACATATGTATGGCCCTCGACCAATCCGTTTCCCCGCACACTGGTGTGCGGACCATTCAAAATACCGGGGTTTTCTGGCAGGCGGTATTTCAACCGCCTCGTCCCTACTCCTTTTTTTGGAACACGGCTCCGCCGCCAAAACTTTAATCTCGCACCCACACAATACCGCCAGCTACGCAGGCTAGGTAAGCGTGCCAACAATACTTACAGACAAACTAACATTTTTCAAGTTGTCTGTTTTTCACATTTTGCTAAAAATGCATTTGCTTCCAATTAAATGGAAACTGCCCCCATTGGTGTTGCAGTTGCCACCCTAAAAAAGTGAATGTACGAACTTTAAAGGGTAGTTACGGTGCCCTTTACATTGAGTGAAAACTATGAAAAGCCAAAAAACAGAAACCGAACTAATAAAAACGTACAAGAAAACAACATTAAGTCTTTCCTTGTGCAAATTTTCTTGCATCAAATTTTTGTTTAATTGCATTGTTTTATTCTCTTACCTGGCATTACTATTCATCTTTTTTTGGAAACTGTTCACTCTTCTGACTTACATTAGTCATTTTACCATTTTGTCATTTGAAGAGAAAAAGTAATTTAGTTTGACAGAGTGCCATAAAGTAAAATAGAATTGCGATTTTCCTATCCAGTTGGCCCCAAAGTGAATTTCGCTTTTCCAGCTAGTTTACAGGCACTCCACTCAAATAATAAGAAACAGGTAATTCAAATTAAAACATAACAGCATTAAAACCCCCGCTGACAGGAGGCAAACAGTTGGATATGAACTTGGGACGTCCGATAAACAAATCTGGCTAGTGGTCAAAGCGGGACCATATCCCATTCTAGTCTTATAAGCATGCATGAAACAGTGGCTGCTCCGTTGTAATTATGGAGGCAAAAACGTGCTGCTTCTCTTTGAGCTGTTGCTAGCGTGGTAATGTCGTTCACTATATTGCGTGTCCCAAGGCGCTCGCGTATTCCAATTTGGGACGAATAATGAAAGCATAAGCAGGCCTCACTTCCGGTTGACGTGCAACGCTCAATAAAGCCTTTGCTTAAGCTCCCTAAAATCTTTTTATTTACGTCCTGTAAGATCGGCGGGGATCCATGCCTGATTCCGTAATAATCAAGTTTCTCAAGTAATAGGTTGCGTGGGACTTCATCGAATTCTTTCGTGAAATCCAGAACTGCGGCGTGTACTTGTTCATAGTTTTGTTGTACTCCAATTGCGTAGGGTCAATGGTAAGAACCAGTTAACCAGATGATGAGAGAGCTGAATTTGCGTTAGATCATTTCTTACATTTGGGATGCTCGAGAGATCTCCCTTTGAAAAGACACTACAAAAGTAATCTTTTAAGATTTTAGCCTTAAGATTCCCATCGCTTGACTGTAATAATTGACATTTGCTTAAGCCCTAAAAATGGGGTTCATCTCGGTGAGAAACATATAGTACATTTTTTTGGTCTAATTTGGCTCCCTTGAGCGATCGTTCATTTTTTTGGGGGGGAGGGGGACTGATGGGATTTAAAGGGTAGCTCCTGTAATATATGAGGACCCCCAGGACCCCACTTCATAAGAAATTTATTTGGGTGCCCTTCTTGTATCCCAAATTGATTGAGATTTACTCCCCCCAAACAAAAGAAAGAAATGTTGCAGAAAATTGAAAAATGACTGACTGAACGTAAATCAAATAGACGTTTTGAATGGTCATAAACAGAGAACAGACATTGCCTGTATTAGCGGAAGTTGCAAAGGAGAGAAACTTTGGGAGCTTCCAAAAATGAAAAACTTAGTTATTTTTGTGTTAGTATTTACTGCACTGGATGGTGTACCAAGTGAGGACGGCCTTGTTGTTTTTATTTGCTTTGTCAATATGATGGCGCGCAAAAAGTAAGTGGCGGAACAGTAACCCTAATGCCAGATTTTTTTTAGCTCTATTACTTTAAAACGGTCTCCGCCTGCCCAGAGATTGAAGATACAAAACACATTGATACTACTACAGTCAGTACACTACTCAAAACATTATTTCTTGCTAAACAATACACAACACTAGGCAAACGCTACCTGACGTTAACAACACGGTTATACTACAGCACCCATTACTCTACTCACACGTATTACTGCTACGCCATATAATGGGTAACACTAAACACTAAAAGAAGGTTGAGTTTGATCGTCCGGGTGAACGTACTCCTGAATAGGACTGTTGTTGTTGACAGTGACTGACGTTTCGACAACCTGTGCGGTAGTCATCTTCAGAGTCAAAGTGAGTTGTATTACGTCAGTTGATGGTATTATGCACTGGTTATTGGTCTGATTGGTCAATTACGTTGCGATGTTATTGGTCGTCTGTCAGTTAAGCCGTGATGTTATTGGCTATAAAGACTCGTAATCAGTAATTGGTGCGTTTCGATCCGTCTATTGTCACAGTTAAACAGTCGTCTATTGTTAGTCAAATTGTCAGTAGAGGTCAGCAAGAGAGCATCAATCAAAACGAACTAGACGTCAATAAGTCGTTTGTACGGCGCTGGTAACTGTTGGCTACGATTCAGTGGCGTTTGTTCTAAGTTAGTAAACCAGCTTTCTAAAGTAAGATGTTGATAGTAGTCTGTAGAATACGTTATACATGTCGCAGAGTCCCAGTCAATTCGATGTTTCGTCTGTAAATGGTGCTCAGCAATGTGATTGTTGACGTCACCATTCCTTGTCGCTCGTTTGTATTCGGTCAGTCGCGTACTTAGGTTTCTGCCGGTTTCACCAATGTAAGAAGCCTGGCAGTCGCAGCATTTGATCTTGTATACTGCTCCCTGTCTGTCCTCCGGTTTGTCTTTGTCCTTGGCATTAGTAAGCAGTCGCCGTAAAGTGGTTATCGGTTTGTGTGCAACACGTATATTGGAAGGTTGTAATATACGTGCAATAGTTTCAGAGGTGCCTCTGATGTACGGTATAGTCGCTATCGTACTAACAGGGCCAGAGTTGGTCTGAGTGTTGGAATCAGTGTTACTGTGAGTGTTCCGTCTAACAAAGTCCGTGTTGTAATTGTTCTTACTAAAAACGTTGTTAAGATAATCAGTCTCGTCTTGTAGGTTGTTACCTTCGAGGACTTCGACCTTGTTTCTTTCACGGCGGATCGGAGCGCTTTTCCTTTTTTGAACTGCGACCAAGTCAGCAACCTTTTTAAAGAATTTTCAGGTAACTTACATTTTACACATTATGTTCAAGGAAAGTACGTTATTGAAAGGAAATTTATGTATTTATAAATGTTTCATAGACGTTTTATAAATTTTTCATAGAGTTTTCAAGATAAATTGGGAAATGCGCCCGATCTGAGACAGATATCAATAATTTTGCCATGTGCTCAGCCGATTTTACTTGTGGGAACAGTTCCACGATCCAGTCAGTGTTATGTGAATTGCTTTTAATGGTAAACTTATCGGTTTTCGAATAAAAATTTTCAAGAAACAATTTGTCTGTTTATTGTTTTCTGTTTGTTCATCCACAACATTGGTTGAAAACATGGTCGCCGGCATCTAAGTCTTGTTACACGCATCACTTCTGCGAAGATGTCAGCGAATTTTATGCAATTTTTACTTTCGAGTTCAGCAACTACTGAATTTTATTTGAAAATATGCGTTACTAGTTATTCTAGATAGATAGATAGTAAGTGATATTTGAAAGGTTGTTTGCGCTAATGGTCACGCAAAAACCGTTTTTGAAGTAACAACTTTAAGAAACCGCTTCTCTTACGGTGCATTCATTTGTAGTCGACTTTGTCTTGCTAGGAGGAACTAACTCAGTCCTGGTCATTTGAGGTCATTTGGGGATTAATACTGTATTCCGTTTTCGTAGAATATTACCTCATATTAAAACAGTAAATGCTTTTTGCACCGCATCATTTACATCACGATACAAGTTTCGCGCGACAATCTCTCTTATCAGTAATTCCATATTAGGAAGTAAATTTTGATTGGTTCCCTAAAAAACCCGAGCTTTGCGACCGAGTTATACGCTTCGGGGTTATATGCCTCTGACAGAGTATAATACCATTAACTGACGTGATAAAACTCACTTTGACTCTGAAGATGACTACCGCACAGGTTGTCGAAACGTGAGTCACTGTCAACAACAACAGTCCTGTTCAGGAGTACGTTCACCCGGACGATCGAACTCAACCTACTTTTGAAATGACTTCTGGGTTCAAACCTTTCACAACTAAACACTAAGCAAACGCTACCTGAAGTAACCAAATAAAACTGCTATAGTGTTTGAGGTAGTTGTGGTTATAGCTGAAAGTTCCATCAACATACGGCAATGTAAGAGACATTCCATGTTTTATTGTGAAAATGAAGACTTATTTTTTTCCCACTGAAATTCTCGATTTGTTACAGTTTCCTTTTTTTTTTTTAAGTAATGAATATGTAAAAATCATATAATGAGAACTGCGGGGTGAAGAAGGATCATCGCATAACTTTAGCAGTTGCAAAAAATTCACCCTGCAATTCTCGTATATGATTTTCATATATTGATAACTTCAGCATCATCCTCTCACGGGTTTATAACAAACCAATTCAACGACAGTTGGCTTGTTAGCTCAATTGGTAAGAGCGCTGCACTAGTATCGCAGAGGTCAAGGGGTCTAATACCGTACAAGCCTGAAAATTTCAGGCTTTCTTTTCGCAATTGCAAAAATTGCGTCTATAACTGCGATGCCGTACAAGCCTGAAAATTTCAGGCTTTCTTTTCGCAATTGCAAAAATTGCGTCTATAACTGCGATGATCTTTCTTTCATTTATTTTTTGACCCCGCAGTTTTCGTATATGATTTTCATTTATTCATAACTTCACAGACCTCTTTGGCTTGTATGTTTTGTTTTCCCAATAGAGGTCCCAGTGGAACTTCACCCTTTGTCTTTTCATAATTTATGCGTAGATATGAACGGGAATAAGACGAAATTTCAAAGAAACAGTTCTCTAGAGTATTATCACATGACCTGTATTGGGAAAACGAAACATGCAAGCTTAAGAGGTCTATTTCCACTGGAATGACCCGATAAATCGTGTTCCATTTTACTCCTAACCGGAATGTCTGCAAACGTTTCGTAAATCGTAAACCATCTATGGCCACATTTTGCCTTTGTCGGTTTAAGACGATTTAATCTTCTCTCCGCATGTCACCTCCCTCACCAGGATCAATTTTCTTTCGCGCTCTCGTATTTGGCTTTCTGTACAATCCCAAAAAAAATGAGGGGCTCCTCGTAGTTTATGGTATTGTAGACTTCTAGCTACGTCACGCAGTCTTTTGGAGGACTGCTGTCTGTGTTACACTTCATATCAAACCTTTTGAGATATTGCAATAATTGTTGATAATGGGAATGACCTGTATGATATACATTATTCCATTTTGCAATATTAAAACACCTTTTTGTGAACTAAAAAGTGTTAATATATATTCTGCCCGATTTGCTCCCTTTTTTGCTGTAGAGTCTGCAAGCAGTAAGAGCAGTTCAACTGAGGACCTTCTAGAAGTTGACAGTGAAACATCCAAGGATGGACTATCAGGTCAAGCTGAGTGTGCTAGCAAAGCTAATGGACAATCAGGGGGAAGTGGAGATTGCTTGAAATTGTCACGAGGTACCAAGGAAAATGACCTGTGGGAGGGAACTGGTACCACTACAAAAAGAGCCATTCCTAAGGAACATGGGAATATGAGTGGGGAACAAGGTGCTACAAGGAGACCCATATTAAGAAAGCAAACCCCCAAAAAAGTTGCCGTTCTATTTGCAAAAGGAAAGAAGAGTGAAAGGAAGAGTGGCGGCCTTAAGAAAGAAGTAAAACCTAAGTGCAGAATTCCATACATTTATAAACGTAAGAGTGCAACTGAAAATGATGATGGAGCCGACAGGAAAGCCAAGATTTCAGCCAGAGCAAGTGTAGATGCTGGAACTTCAGGCAATAAACCAGGGAGAAGTGAAGACGAAAGTGATGATGAAGCCGAGAAAGAAGATAAGAGGTCAACTGGAGCAAGTGCTGTAGATTCCAGAAAGTCAGGCAGTCAAAGGGAAAGATATCAAGACGAAAGTGATGATGAAGCGGACAAAAACGATAGAAGGTCAACTAGAGCAGGTGCTGTAGATTCCAGAAAGTCAGACAGTCAAAGGGAAAGATATCAAGACGAAAGTGATGATGAAACCAACAAAAACGATAGAAGGTCAACTAGAGCAAGTGCTGTAGATTCCAGAAAGTCAGGCAGTCAAAGGGAAAGATATCAAGACGAAAGTGATGATGAAGCGGACAAAAACGATAGAAGGTCAACTAGAGCAGGTGCTGTAGATTCCAGAAAGTCAGGCTGTCAAAGGAAAAGATATCAAGACGAAAGTGATGATGAAGCTGACAAAAACAATAGAAGGTCAACTAGAGCAGGTGCTGTAGATTCCAGAAAGTCAGACAGTCAAAGGGAAAGATATCAAGACGAAAGTGATGATGAAGCTCACAAAAACGACAGAAGCTCAACTAGAGCAAGTGCTGTAGATTTCAGAAAGTCAGGCTGTCAAAGGGAAAGATATCAAGACGAAAGTGATGATGAAGCCGAGAAAGGAGATAAGAGGTCAACTGGAGCAAGTGCTGTAGATTCCAGAAAAACCGGCAGTCGAAGGGAAAGATATCAAGACGAAAGTGATGATGAAACCGACAAAAAAGATAAGAGGTCAACTGGAACACGTACTGTAGATTCCAGAAAGTCAGGCAGTCAAAGGGAAAGATATCAAGACGAAAGTTATGATGAAGCTGCCAAAAACGACAGGAGGTCAAGTAGAGCAAGTGCTGTAGATTTCAGAAAGTCAGGCTGTCAAAGGGAAAGAAGTGAATACGAAAGTTATGATGAAGCTGACAAAAACGACAGGAGGTCAAGTAGAGCAAGTGCTGTAGATTTCAGAAAGTCAGGCTGTCAAAGGGAAAGAAGTGAATACGAAAGTGATGATGAAGCTGAGAAAGAAGATAATAGGTCAACTGGAGCAAGTACTGTAGATTCCCGAAAGTCAGGCAGTCAAAGGGAAAGATATCAAGACGAAAGTGATGATGAAACCAACAAAAAAGATAAGAGGTCAACTGGAGTAAGTGCTGTAGATTTCAGAAAGTCAGGCAGTCAAAGGGAAAGATATCAAGACGAAAGTGATGATGAGACTGACGGAAAATATAAGAGGTCAAGTGGAGGAAGTGCTGTAGATTTCAGCAAGTCAGGCAGTCAAAGGGAAAGAAGTGAAGACGAAAGTGATAATGAAGCCAACAAAAAAGATAAGAGGTCAACTGGAGTAAGTGCTGTAGATTTCAGGAAGTCAGGCAGTCAAAGGGAAAGAAGTGAAGACGAAAGTGATGATGAAGCCAACAAAAAAGATAAAAGGTCAACTGGAACAAGTACTGTAGATTCCAGAAAGTCAGGCAGTCAAAGGGAAAGAAGTGAAGACGAAAGTGATGATGAAGCCAACAAAAAAGATAAGAGGTCAACTGGAACAAGTACTGTAGATTCCAGAAAGTCAGGCAGTCAAAGGGAAAGATGTCAAGACGAAAGTGATAATGAAGCCAACAAAAAAGATAAGAGGTCAACTGGAACAAGTACTGTAGATTCCAGAAAGTCAGGCAGTCAAAGGGAAAGATATGAAGACGAAAGTAATAAAGAAGCCAACAAAAAAGATAAGAGGTCAACTGGAACAAGTACTGTAGATTCCAGAAAGTCAGGCAGTCAAAGGGAAAGATGTCAAGACGAAAGTGATAAAGAAGCCAACAAAAAAGATAAGAGGTCAACTAGAGCAAGTGCTGTAGATTTCAGAAAGTCAGGCAGT